TACGCTCGGTTCGCAACAAACAACTGCACCTCCCAGTCGCGAACCATTTCAACTCCCCCTCCCATTCCTCAGACGACATGTCCATCCTGGGCCTCCTGCAGTGCCACAACGATGCCACCCGAAGGTTGCAGGAACAGCAACTCATATTCCGCTTGGGAACCCTGCAGCCCAATGGTATCAATGTGGATTTCACAAGTTTCAAAATCTCCCCTCCCCCTACCGCATCCCAAAACCAGTCCAGCTCGTCCCTGCCTCCCTAACCTGTTCTTCCTCCCACCTATCCCCTCCTCCCACCTCAAGCCGCACCTCCATCTCCTACCGACCAACCTCATCCCGCCCCCTTGACCTGTCCGTCCTCCCTGGACTGACCTATCCCCTTCCTAACTCCCTACCTACACTCACCTTTACTGGCTCCATCCCCGCCTCTTCGACCTGTTTGTTTCCTCTCCACCTATCCTCTCCTCTATCCATCTTCTATCCGCCTCCCACTCTCTCCCTATTTATTTCAAAACCCCCTTCCCCTCCCCCTTTTCTGATGAAGGGTCTAGGCCCGAAACGTCAGCCTCTCTGCTCCTATGATGCTGCTTGGCCTGCTGTGTTCATCCAGCCCTGCACCTTGTTGTCTCGGATTCTCCAGCATCTGCAGTTCCTACTATCTCTCTCACATCATCTCAATCCCATCTTTATAGAAGACTCCTTATTTTTGAAAATATGACTATTAGTTTTAGTTGCTGATAGTAATCTCCAGAGGGCCTGAATAACTAGAGGACTGCAGTATCTAACCCAATGCTGTCCCTGTCCTGGGATTTGTGGTGACAGTGGGAGCGTAGATTGATTCATCTGATCAGCACAGAATGCATTGATGAAATGGAGACTCTGAACTTTGCTGTAATATTGATTGTTGCTGTGCCCTGTTTTGCCTTTGAGCAGGAGGATGAATCATGGAGCTGGGATCACTTGTTCACCGAGGTATCCTCTGAGCTGCTGACTGAGTCAGAGGATGGGGCAGGCCAGGATGAGGATGAAGCGAAGCTACTGTCTGCACCGGCCTGACAGGAGCAGGAACCACACTGTCCATCTCTGACCCCATTTTCACTGGTTGTAGATGATCCTTTGTTTGTCCTGGATGTTAATATCAGAAGTCACATAACACCAGGTTATAGTCCAACATGTTTATTTGAAAATACAAGCTTTCAGAGCGCAGCCTCTTTGTCAGGGGAAATCGGACTTCACCCGATGAAGGAGCGAGGCTCCGAAAGCTTGTGATTTCAGATAAACCTGTTGGACTATAACCTGATGTCGTGTGATTTCTGATTTTGTCCACCCCAGTCCGACACCAGCACCTCCACATCTTGGATGTTAATGTGCACGTTCCAGAGCATGTAAAATAGAGCTTGTTTTCAAAACTCTTGTATTTCCATGTTCATCTTTGTTACCTTATCAGACTGGTCATGAGTGATGGGGCTGGCTGAGGGTTAACATTTAGTCTCAGATTCAGTCAGCTCTGGTCGGGGTGCTAGCCAAAATTCCCTCAAAGCCGTGTAGCCGTGCGTGTGTGCAGCCACTCTGAGGCTCTGTGCACTGCTGGGTTAATGTTGGTTACAACATTGACATCCGGTTCTGGAGGTCACAATCCTCTACAGACCTTCACACAGATTTTTAAAAATTAGCAGAAATGCTTGTTCCCCACGCACGGGCTCCTTTTTACATACGCATGCTCTCGCGCACACACACACACATACACTCGCACACACACACACACACAGACACACACATTTATGCATACACACTCTCTTATACATATGCACACACACCCTCTTACACACACACACTTTTTACACAGAAACACACACGCACACACATGCTCTCCAACATGCAAATACACATGCATACACACACCCTCACACACACGCACACACACCCAAATGCACACTCTCTTACACACTCTCACACATATTCCCTCTTAATGCACTGAACTACTATCTACTTCAAGGTTGTAAAACCTCATTAAACCCAGGCTCCTCAGCACCAAGGCTCCAAGGATACAAACTCTGAAAATGACTAACCATGTCTTCATCTCATAGAATCTTAAAGTCAAACATTGTGTTTAATACCTGTTCATAAAAATCAAGAAAAATCCAAACTGGCCGTTGAATGTCCCTAGTGCCATCACCTGTAAAGTGGTGGTGGTTATTGTCATCCATGGCATATCACACCAGACAAAAAGGTGACACTTAGAACATAGAACATTACAGCGCAGTACAGGCCCTTCGGCCCTCGATGTTGCGCCGACCTGTGAAACCAGTCTGAAGCCCATCTAACCTACACTATTCCATTATCATCCATATGTTTATCCAATGACCATTTAAATGCCCTTAAAGTTGGCGAGTCTACTACTTTTGCAGGCAGGGCATTCCATGCCCTTACTACTTACTACCTGCTCAGTGACGCCCAGTTTGGGTTCCGTCAGGGCCACTCAGCTCCTGATCTCACTACAGCCCTGGTTGAAACATGGACAAAAGAGCTGAATTCCAGAGGTGAGGTGAGAGTGACAGCCTTTGACATCAAGGCTGTATTCTACCGAGTGTGGCATCAAGGACCCTGAGCAAAGCTGCAGTGTGAATGAGGAGAAATCTGTCCACTGGTTAGAGTCATACCTAACAAAGGAATATTGTTGTGATTGTAGAAGCTATTCATTTCCCCAAATTGCTACAGGTATTCCTCAAAATGGTGTCCTTGGGCTAACCATTTCAGCTGCTTTTTCTAATGACCTTCTGTCCAACACAAGGTCAGAAGTGGGCACTGTTACTGATGTTGCACAATGTTCAGTATCATTTACAAATCACAACCACTGAGCATAAGCAGAACAAAACAAATAGGCGCACAAAAGGGGCTAGGGCTAGGTACTAAATATTTCCAAAAACAAGGTGTCCTGCAAAGATAGGGAAGAAAAGAAAAGAGGTGTGGAGGCAGTATTGATTAAGGAGCATTTTGCTGTGCTGAAGAGAGAGGCTGTCCCAGAGGGGTAAAGGAAAGAATCGATTTGATTAGAGCTAAGGAGTGAACATTACAGAGTGCATTCTGCAAACCGTCACCAGTTAGCGAAAATATGAAGGAACCTATGTACAACAGAACTGAAGGTAAATGCATAAACAAACCATGGTTATAATAGAAGACTTTTGTTGCTATTGTGCAGTCATCGACGATCAAAAACCCCCATTTGCATTCCCCTTACTGTAAAAGCCAACGTGCCATTTGCTTCTTAGTTGCTTACAGCACCTGCAATGTGATGCTGTGTTTCAAGACCACCTGAACATTTAATACTTCCCCACCATTTAAAAAGAATTTGCTTCTCCTTGTTCAAAAAAATGAATAACCTTATGTTTTCCCATGTTATTCTACATCCATCAGCCTTGTTGCCTGTTCACTCGACCTGTCTGTTTCTCTTTACAATCTCTGTGTCCTCTTTGAGTTGCCTTTCTGCTGGCTTTGTGTAATCAGCAAACACAGGTGCTTGAAATGTTGACCCTGCATCTAAGTCATGAATGTAGATTGGATGTAAAACCCGAAGAAACTGCAGATGCTGCAAATCAGAAACTCTTCGTGGAGCTGTCAAACATGAACTTCCTTTGAGTGAAACTTAATAAGAGATGCCAATATTTTTCCAACACTTGATGGCAGGCTAAGTAGCCTGTAATCCCCTGTTTTTATTTTCTCTCCTTTCTTACTCAATAATGTAGCATTTACGAATGCACTGGGATTTTCCAGAATTTTGGAGATTTTGGAATATTACAACAGATGGATCAGAACCCCAGGCTGTCACCTGCCAGGCCAAAAGGATTTTGATCCCATTAATTCTCCAGCACTTTTCCTCTCGAATCTCTTCTCTCTCATTGGGCCTTGGTTACCCAGTAATACTAACATTAGTCCAAAAAAAAACGAGGAAAAGTTCAACCCAGCAACTTACCACCTCATCAGAAATAAAAACAGAAAGTGCTGGAGAAGCCGAGTCTTCCTCACAGCCACGTTCAACGGGGCAGGAACAGAGCTGGACAGGATAGTCTGGGTGGGATGGTCTTCAGAGGGTCATTGCAGACTTGATGGGCCAACTGGCATCTTTCCGCACTGTAGGGATTCTATGATTTACACCTGGAGGTTTGGTGAGGTGTTAAAGGAAGACTCTGCATCTGTCTTTACCAAAGAGAGAGGCGCTCCCACACCATGGTAACAGAGCAGGAAACTCTGTCACTAGAATGGTTTAAAACTGATAAGGAACTAATGTTGGATAAATTGTTGGTACTTAACTTTGATGAGGCTCTGGGACCAGATGAAATGCATCCAAGAATTTTGAAGAAAGTGACAGTAGGAATTGCAGGGGCACTGATCATAAACTTTCAGTCTTCTGGACTCTGGAGAGGTGCCAGAAAACTGGAGAATTGCAAATATTAAGCCTTGTTCAAGAAAGGTTTTAAGGATAATCCCAACAATCATAGAGCAGTTAGTTTAACTTCAGTGATGGGGATGCCTCTAGAAATTATTATTCACTATAGAATTAGTAATCACATGGAAAAACAGGGATTGATTATAAAGAGCCAATAAGGATTTCTAATGGGAATATTGTGGTTAAGAGGTAATAGAAAGACTTGATGAGTGTAATATTGTTGATGTTGTTTACATGGATTTCCAGAAGGCATTTCATTTAGTGCCACTCAACAGATTTGTGAGAAAAGTTATAGCTCATGGTATAAAAAGGTTATAGCAACATGGGGGAGGTGTGGCATTGTTAGTCAAGGACAGTATTACGGTGGCAGAAAGGACGTTTGATGACAACTCGTCTACTGAGGTAGTATGGGCTGAGGTTAGAACCAGGAAAGGAGAGGTCACCCTGTTGGGAGTTTTCTATAGGCCTCCGAAAAGTTCCAGAGATGTAGAGGAAAAGATTGCAAAGATGATTCTGGATAGGAGCGAAAGTAACAGGGTAGTTGTTGTGGGGGACTTTAACTTTCCAAATATTGACTGGAAACGCTATAGTTCGAGTACTTCAGATGGGTCAGTTTTTGTCCAATGTGTGCAGGAGGGTTTCCTGACACAGTATGTAGATAGGCCCACAAGAGGCGAGGCCACATTGGATTTGGTACTGGGTAATGAACCAGGCCAGGTGTTAGATTTGGAGGTAGGTGAGCACTTTGGTGATAGTGACCACAATTCGGTTACGTTTACTTTAGCGATGGAAAGGGATAGGTATATACCGCAGGGCAAGAGTTATAGCTGGGGGAAAGGCAATTATGAGGCGATGAGGCAAGATTTAGGATGCATAGGATGGAGAAGGAAACTGCAGGGGCTGGGCACAATTGAAATGTGGAGCTTGTTCAAGGAACAGCTACTGCGTGTCCTTGAGAAGTATGTACCTGTCAGGCAGGGAGGAAGTGGTCGAGCAAGGGAACCGTGGTTTACTAAAGAAGTTGAATCTCTTGTCAAGAGGAAGAAGGAGGCTTATGTAGAGATGAGGCGTGAAGGCTCAGTTAGGGCGCTTGAGAGTTACAAGTTAGCCAGGAAGGACCTAAACAGAGAGCTAAGAAGAGCCAGGAGGGGACATGAGAAGTCTTTAGCAGGTAGGATCAAGGAAAACCCTAAAGCTTTCTATAGGTATGTCAGGAATAAAAGAATGACTAGAGTAAGATTAGGGCCGGTCAAGGACAGTAGTGGGAAGTTGTGCGTGGAGTCCGAAGAGATAGGAGAGGTGCTAAATGAATATTTTTCGTCAGTATTCACGCAGGAAAAAGACAATGTAGTCAAGGAGAAGACTGAGCTACAGTCTATTAGACGAGACGGGATTGAGGTTCATAAGGAGGAGGTGTTAGCAATTCTGGAAGGTGTGAAAATAGATAAGTCCCCTGGGCCGGATGGGATTTATCCTAGGATTCTCTGGGAAGCTGGAGAGGAGATTGCAGAGCCTTTGGCTTTGATCTTTATGTCGTCATTG